CCCCGGTACGGATCGGAAGCGGACTCGGCACCGTGTGAAGTCTCTAATAATCGCGATGGACAATTGTATGATGAATGTGCGTGTGATGATTGTGCTGAAGTGTCCTGCAGTGATTTGTCCTTGCACCATGGCCCGGGTGTGAGGAGATGATCCCATGGGCCGTGGACTGCTACTGTGTGCATTTTATAGAGGATATTGCTTACCCCATCCCAGCCCCTGGATACCCCTCGTCCCAGTTCAGCCCCTTTCCCGATACCTAGTCCTAAGCGACGCATTGATAAGCGGGTACACAACCAATAACGTACAGGCCGGCCGTCCTGGATTTGCTGGGGGCGGTCCCTTAATCTTGGCCCTCTGCCCGGCCCAATGCCCTGGGATCGCAGCATCAACCTCATCGGCGTTTCTACCCCTACAAGCGTCTCTAACAGGCATGAAATGCGACGATCGGAGCTGCGACTGGGCAGCCTGGCCCGATCCTATATTTAGAGGCGTGGTTTGGGTGCCCACCCACCCCTTAAGTTGGCATGATGGGTGGTCCCTGCATATTTAGAATATTTAGAAGGGTCTATGACAGGGGTCTCAAACCTCCAGCTGCGATGGAACTACAAATCCCATGAGGCATTGCAAGATTCTCTCAGCCACGACTCCCGAAGAGAGATGCATCATGGGATTTGTAGTTTCACCCCAGCTGGAGGTCTGAGACCCCTGGTCCATGCTGAACCAACGCATAAAGTGGGTGTGATTTGTTGTCGCCCACCCAGTTGGCCGAAAAGTTGGGCTTACGGTGTCCCGGGATTCATGACCATAACGCGGTATGTATTGACCCGGGGGGGGGAGAGCAACCTTGGCACTCCAGCTGTGGGGAAACTACAAGTCCCAGGAGGCATTGCAAGACTCTGGCAGTCACAGGCATGGCTCCTAGGGGAAGATGGCATGGTGCAGAGGTTGCCTACCTCCTCGATTTTAACCTAATCCACCCCATTGTTTATCTCAGGGAACAGATCCACAATTTGCGGCCTTTACTGTGACTATGCCGGGGGAGGAGCCCCGGGCACAGAGTCATCTCAGGGAGTATATAGTATATACAGGTGATAGGAGAGATCCAAGATCAAGTGCTTTACAGGTTCAGACTATCAAGTCATATGTTGGAATGTTGTTGTAGTTACTGTGCCAGCCAGTAGAGGGCAGAACTCCAATACAATAGGAAAGGGAACGCGGAGGGAGTCAGTGTCCGTTTTTCTGTTTTTTCTTTTTTTGGGTTTGTTTTGATCATAATAAAGATTTTGTTTCTTACAATTCTGAAGTTTTTCCTTTTTTAAAGAGCAACTGTGAGAAGTGGAAACTGAAATCTCTAATGTAGGATTTGTATTCTGAGTCTTCCCTGTACCATAGCTGTGTGATTGCCTGTTGATCCCGCCAGTGGCTCTGTTATCGTTCCACTTCCTGTGACGGTGACACAGATGCTCATTCTGAAGAGCACGCTCTAAGGTGGACATAACGATTCCGTTGTACTTTAACTATTGGATCCCCCTGGGCTCCCTACTTTTCATCTGGCCCCTATTTATTGGACTCCATGGGCTTCCAACTTTTTACCTGGCCCCTATTTATTGGACCCCCTGGGCTCCCTATGTTTTATGTGACCCCTATTTATCGGACCCCGCGGGCTCCCTACTTTTTACCTGACCCCCTATTTATTTGACCCCCCCCCCTAGGCTTCTCTATGCAACAAAATAGTTTTCAGTCATTTTAAAGTGACACTAAACTCCGGAGATAAATCCTAAAACTCCCTCCGAGCCCCCGAACAACAAGGTCTCTTATTTGTGTCTCACTCGGCTGGAGATACTCCAATCATCTCTGTCCTTCCTTCTGGAGAGGGGCTACGTCTGTTCCCCATGGTCCCTGTGTGTGTGTTGTAAAGTAGCTCCGCCCCCGGGATGGACTACAATCTCATATTTAGTTTATTTGTATTGAGATTGTAGTCCACCCCGGGGGCGGAGCTTGGAGCGGTGACTACTTTCCAACACACACAGGGACCATGGGGAACAGACGTAGCCCCTCTCCAGAAGGAAGGACAGAGATGATTGGAGTATCTCCAGCCGAGTGAGACACAAATAAGAGACCTTGTTGTTCGGGGGCTCGGAGGGAGTTTTAGGATTTTATCTCCGGAGTTTTGTGTCACTTTAATGAAATAAAGAATAATAATTGTCAGTAAAGAAATGCAGAGAGTGAAAATGAATAACGCTTTCTGTGGAGAAATGCCCCCCTCATATCAATGACCAATGGAGAAGTGACTTCTTACACCAGAGGTGGGCATTGGTAGAGCCCCCACCCCCCTTACATTGGCGGTCAGTGGGTACAATAGCCTGAGGGTCTGGTAATGTACAATATGTTACATGTAGAAGTGGCTGCATAAAGTTTTTTTGTTAGCTGGCGCTTCTGCCAGTGACACCACTCGCTGCATCTATGAAGGAGGTGTGTGTGTGTGACTACAGAACACCTCCATGACAGAGGGGGGAGGTGTTCTATAGTCCTCAGAGGTAGCTGGGAACAATTTCACTAACAGCACGGGCACACTACCCTGCCAAAAGGGTGACAACGCTGCTGTGTGATTTTTACCATTAAAGGAAATCCGTCCTCCCGTCGCCGCCGAGTATCTCTCCTCGCCGGCCACCAACGTCTTCAGGATGGGGAGCAGAGCGGCCGGGTTAGAAGTAAGCCCACCGCTCCGTGTATACAGCGAGAGGGGAAAGCCGCGCTCTTCCTCTCTCACTTGTCACAGGAGAGCCAGCACAGCGCTGTGCTAGAACTCCTGTATTGGAGGTGACAGGGTCAATAAAGAGAACCTGACACCTCGAAATGCTATCACACATGGGGATTGTTAGCTCCTGTGTGATAGCAATAAAGTTAAGTGAATTAAAGGCTACAAAAATGACATATTTTTTTTTTTTTTTTAAAGTAAAAAATATTGAAAAATTAAAATAAAAGTAAAAGATAAGCTAAAAAGGTAAAGTAAAAAAATAAATAATAACTAACCCTGCCACCCCCACATGGCCTTGGGGTAGCAGGGAGAGTAAATCCGGTCCTGGTGGCGGCTGCAGTGGTTCTCTGGCTTTATTTGCCCCTGGTGATCCTGCCAGCAACACACTTCCTGTCCGAGCTTGACAACACTCCCCGCACTGTACGGAGGAGCGGTGTTGTCACCCTGGGACAGGAAGTGTGTTAGGATGACAGAACAGCTTCCCCTCATCTGTGAATGGGAACATATAACCAATGCGTTGCTCTCTGTCCAGGTTTTAGGATGCGTTTGGTATCCCTGCCG